TATATATATATATATATATATAAATATAAAACTTTTGACAACTATGCATTGGCCAGTTTCTAAATCAACACTACATTTAAATTAAGGATAAACTGTATGTATTTTCAAAATAGAAGGTTTTAAGAATTTAAATATCCTAGCATTTAAACTAACCTCTTTGAGGCTGTTTTCCCATAAAATAATAGTAAACAGTTAAACAGTGGTAACTATTTGCCAGACACATATTTATTAGATATTGACTTTATAATAATCCAATTAGGACTCCTTGAGCCAATTTCAAAAATAAAACTTTTACTTACAGTTAATAACATATATCTTGCTATTGATTAAATGTTCAAAACATGTAAATGCTACTTTCTGAAAGGCATCTCAGTAACTGTACTTCTGAAAAGCAGTGATCAAATATATAAAATGTGGTATGTCTTACGGCAGATGCTAACTGTTCTTCCGTCATGTCTTCTACGAAAACAGTTTTAGCCGAGGGTTCCTCAGGAAGAGCATCTGCTGACCCCATCATTAGTAGAGTCATTCCCTGTTTTAAAAAAAATTAATTTCATGAAAATACTCAAAAGTTGATCATATTTATGTCCAATGAAAGAAGCCAGCCACAGAAAAGCACATATTGCATCATGCTTCTATTTGCCAGAAAAGGTAAATCTTGAGAGACACAAAATAGATCAGTGATGGCAAAAGCTAAAGGTGGGAAAAGGGAGTATCTTTAAACAGGAATGCATTTCTTTCTGGGTTATGATAAAAATATTCCAAAATTAGGTTGTGGTAAAGGTTACACAACTCTGTAAATAGTAAAAGTCATTGAACTGTTAAAAAAAAAATTACTGGGGTGGCTGGTTCCAGCCAGGGGTCACCTGATTATCTATAAAGGGGCACACAGAAACTTTTTAGAGAGGTGGAACTTCTACCTTCACTGTGGTGGTGGTAACATGACTGTATAAAATTAACCAAATCCACCAAACTGTACATTTAAGTATGTGAATTTTATTCTCTATATATCACCTCAATAAAGCTAAGGGGAAAAAAAATCTTGTCACAAAGAAAACTGAGAATGTTTTCAATAACAGAAAAGAGGGACTTCTTCACATGATCATTAATATATAGTGGCATCACTTCCACCCACAACAAAGTAAGTACTGAGAAGATTCAATGAATGTCTACTGTTAACTGTAACCATTATTTGCATTTGAATAGAAATATTTTGAAAGCACTGAAACCTCCATTATTGGAAAACAAAACAAATATATAAAATAGTTCAAAATAGCCAATTTTATAATTCTACACATTATTAACCTAAGGGAACACTTGTATTCACTACATGTATAACATTCCATACAACAGAACAATGAAGACACTGTCACCCCAAATCTCATAATCCTGACGTGAGCAACACCTTCCTCAATATTGGAAGACATGAACATCTAAGACAAAGACAAAGGGTAGAGAGGCTTAAAAGGGAAAAAAAAAAGTCAGAAGTAGAAATTTTTTTTTAAAAAAAGATAAAAGTATCTAAAGATTAAAATTAGGAAATTACTAAGGTCAACAAACTCGTAGTCTTAAGAGTACCTATGCTGAAGTCCAACAATCTTCATTCTGTCACCTGCCACTATCACTTAAACTTTCTGTAAGATAACAGCAAAGCAGTACTAAGCTATCACTAAAGAATTTTTTTCCAAAGACAACTGTCTCAGGAAAACCAAATATTTGAAAAATATACTAGCAATAACCAATTAGAAAATACAATAAAAAATAAAGAATACCAGCAAATATCTAAGAGTAATGTAACAAGGAATATGTAATACTTTAGTAAGAAAACTATAAAGCTTTACTTAGGGATATTTAAAAAACACCTAAATAAACTGAAGGTTATGACAGATTTCTGGACTGGAAAAATTACTGTAAAGATATGATTCCAAATTATCATGTAAATTTAATTAAAAAATTTTGAAACTGTACAATATGACTCATTCCTGTAGCTAATTCATACCCATGACAATAGCTAAGAAATTTCTTAAAAAGAATAAAGAAAGAAGACTAAAATGTCATTTAAAATTAAGAAAATAGATAATACAATAAAGAATGTTGAGGATAATAATTTAGAAAAAAATTACTGAGTTCTCCACCACACGGCATGGCCATACCCAAAATGAATTACAAACTGAAACTTTACATGTAAACGAAATGAAACAATTACGAAATATTTACCTGAATTTTTTTTTATGTTGCCATTTTGGAAGAGTCTCTAAAATTGACATAAAAGATGAAGGGACTGATGATGTCACTAACTATATAAATA